ATGCTTGTTTTCAAAGACCTGCTTTCGGTTATTAAACATTTTCCAATGGGTTTGTAATCGAAGTACAATAAGACTCGAATTTTGGATCATGCTTCCCTTTATTACATTGGAGAATTCTAACCTGACCATTACAATTGCTCCTGGCTTTTCTAGTAGTCTGTAGTTCTCACAATTCTATTATAAAATTAGATTTAAAGATTCATAAATTTGAAGTGATGATAGACGGTTGGGTATGGCGCAGATTGTCGTTCTTTCAAATCTGCTGTAGTCTATACTAATTATATAAAAATCGTGATTGCGTGAACCATTTGTAGCATATGCATTTCATTGCAGTAATTTGTAAAAACGATGGAACTTATAATTACTTCATAATATTGCCTTGCCAGTTTTTCATACTTTAAGACTGGCATTAATTATGAAAATATGTTAAAATAAAATGAATATTGAATAGAATAGAATAGAATAGAATAGAATAGAATAGAATGATTTTTATTCAATATGGATTATTACATAATACTTATTGAAAGTCATTATTTTATTTACCACTGGTTCGGAAAATACCTCTGTCCTGGGAAGAACCAGCGAGAAACCCAGCGGGACTTTTTTTTTTAAACATAATTTCACTTAACAATAATTTTGATTATACAATTTTAAATGAATTTTCATAGAACCAGCATGGTGGCGATCACCTTATTCCCAGGGGTTATTTTCACTCATGTATTCCTTGATATTATAATAACCCTTTTTGTACAGTTTTTCTTTAATAAAACTTTTAAACTTGTTTATTGACAAACTTTGAACATGTTCTGGGATTCTGTTGTAAAAGCGTATACATTGCCCCATAAATGAATTACTAATTCTGTGGAGTCTTGTAAGTGGCATTACAAGCTTATGTTTGTTCCTAGTGTTTAAGGTATGAACATCCTTATTCTTATTAAAGCTATTTATGTTTTTATGTACATACATTACATTTTCATAAATATATTGCGATGCCAAAGTTAATATGTTTATTTCTTTAAATTTTTCTCTAAGGGACTCTTTACAATTTAGATTATAAATCGCCCGTACGGCTCTCTATTAGTATTAGTAATAGATGAGTATTAGTATCATGGCAAAAAGCTAAGGAAGGTCCTCTGCCATTTATGTAAAGACTTTTTAAGTCACCGTTATGGCACGAGAACGAGAACCTCTTTGTATTTTGGTATGTCCTTTTAGCAACATACATAAGTTTATAGTTGCAAGACAATTTCGTCGTTTGTTAATACCATATAATATGTTTGTACGTATATTATATTTTCAAATCGTTTTTTAAATATGATTTAGTTCTATAATCAAAGCACATAATATCAATTTGCCAAATAGTGAAGTTATTCAAGATGACATTCTACGATCGTTAACGCTATAGAAACCTATAAAAATGAAACGTTTGTATATGTCATTCCCATTCTTTTTTTATTTTTCTATAGCGTTAACGACCGTAGACCGTATTTTGCCTAACCCCTCAGAAATTCGTTTGTTTCTTTAGAAGCCTAATTGACTCAATTACTTAAGAATCGGGATTTAGCATCGTTACCTAGTTATTGATATAATATAAAATTAATTTTTACGTGTCCCAATTAAAAGTTGTGATTGCATTGATCAGACACGCCATTTTGCATCATAGTCCTTGCTTTGTTTACTGGTTCCGATATATTTGAATCAGGATATTTAAAAGGATTATTTTTCAACATTGTATTAAAACAACATTGTATTAAAAGTAGGCAGTACATCAGAAAATACAGGGTTATTTTGCAATAACTGGCGAAATTTGCAGAGAAGGTTCAGAATAGGTAATATAGGCAAATGGTGAAATCAAATTAATTAAAAAAAATCTCAAACATTCTGTCGTTTTTATGTTTTAAATTCAAAATGCGTGGTAATGCATTATTTGAACTCATATTACTGTGCACACATTCGTAAGGGTCGATTAGTAGGCAAAAACGTTGTTGCCCATAAATCACTTCAATTTGGGATAATCTATACATATAATAAAATTGTAAATAGCAGATGTCTGTACATTTTATATTTTTGTAATAAAAGTGATTGAGGGGTACTAAAAATAAGTATGTTTTCCTTAAATTAAAAAAGGATGTTTTCTCACAAAGAACGTAATAGATGGCGTTGTACAAATTACAACCTTTTCTGAATTGCGGTGTTAAGATTTTTCGCAGGTGAATCGTATTGACACTCACTGAAAAAATTTATGTTCATGAGTCCGACGAAGCTGCAAGACTGTAAGAGCCGTGTAGGCTAACAACACAAAGCTCAAACACCGACAGAAACAGAAAAAAGAGACGTACCGCGTACGTCGAAATTATTCAACAAAACTCGAAAACTCGACTAAAAGTAGTAAATTTGCAATAAATGTCGTGATATTGTTTTATACCCAGAATCCCTCTAAACCTCTAATACCAAATAACTTTCCTTACAGTTTTAAGATAGGGATAATAACATCGATGATGACATCGATGTTGGCATCGATAGCTCAACATCGATGTTCGATGTTTAGGCAACTTAAAACATCGATGATGACCATTATCGATGGTTTTTGTATATGTGTAGATACTTACACATTGTTTCAAAATTATGTGGGTATACACATCAAGGGAAAAGTAACTATTAACTTGAATATCAATTTACGTAGAATAGTTATTATGCGACAACCGACAACGACACTACAAAATAAAGCGAAAGCAGTGACCATTGTGACATCACAGGTGACACTTCACAATTAAGTTTGACTCACCATACTGACATTTTTTTAGGTTAACGATGCGTTCAGGAATTCTGAATTATTCAAAATTTTTAATCTTCAGAGCAGATGCAAAATTTAGTTGATATTGATTTCGCGAGTTCGCATTGTTTGCAAGTTCCCAATTATCGATTATGGGTTCATTGACGTCGATGTTTCGATGTTTGACATGTGTCAACATCGATGTTAAAACATCGAAGTTTTAATTTTTAACATCGATGATCATCTAACATCCCTATTTTAAGTGTGTTTCCCACTCAGCGTGTGTTATGCGACGATCGTAAATAAAGCGCAAGGTCAAACTTTACGCGTTGTAGGAGTGGACCCCAGTACTGATTGTTTTGCACATGGCCAACTCTATGCCAACCTTTTTCTGTACGCCCCGGCTAAGTCTACTTCTATCGTCGTTTACACGGAAGCTCTAAACGACTTAGAACTTTGAGCGTATCGATTTATTTTGTTACCACTTATTCATACAGTAATGATATAAATCGTTTAATATTCTCTTACCCTAAACGTCAAATTCTTTAAGTAAAACCTATTTTCGCGAGCTACGCCGCGGGCACAGCTAGTTTTAAATAAAAGTAGAAGCTTTACTTACTCGTATTTTCAAAAAATGGAATAACGGTATAATATATACTTTAACTTAAATTTAACATTTGGCTTCGCTTTGAAAAATAACCCTGTATAATTTTAAATTTATTTAGTAATCTACAATGTACAAAACTATAATAATATTTTTTTCAGGCACGGAAGTTACTAGAACAATTTGAAGACTATATGGCGTTAAAAAGTTTTATTTTTATCGGACCAAAAATACTTAAACTTATAATCGGCTTTTTTGTGTATTGTTTTAAAGTTTTTCTTTCATATATTTATTTTAACTTATTACTTATGAATGTTTGTATTTATAACAATGTGTATTTAGTAATAATTTGTATTTTCATTAAATATGCTTTAAATTATAAATTCAATTTTTTTATTTCACATAAAGCACTTAATGTATGGTTTAAATGGCAAAGTATGTTTAAACCTAGTTTGTTTAATTTCACCTGCCTTTAAAGTGAGACGTGAGAGCTGAACTATCTTTTCTACGTAGAACAATGCGCTTTGCTCTCACAATTTAGCCAATTATCGTTGCAAGTTGCATTAAGTTTGCATTTTCGCGTAAGCTGCAGACGGTGTAATAAACTTAAAGATAAAATTTACCGGTCAAGTGTTATGTTAATTTAAATATTAGATAATAAATATGCATTAAGTTTGATGTACATATGTGAGGTGGAAAGTTAGTATATTAATATTTCAAATGCATAAAATTCCTATTTTCTTGTTTTCTTGCTTAAATAAATGTTATCAACATTATGTTGTCAACATTAATTTATTTAGATTTTTGGAGATATTAATTAAATGTTACAAGAAAACTGAAAATTTGTATTAAAACGCTAAGTTTTGGTTTTTGTGTCCCAGATCTCTTGTGATCTCTCGGTGTCAGTGAGTCTGTGTTCGCTTGTTCATTTGTTGCAATGTAACTATGATGAACCCTGTATAGTCTATAGCTTATGGAAGTAAATATTTTCAAGTTATGAATGAAATTGCACAGAGGAACATTAATATCAATTAAGTAATAAAAATTACGAATATAAATTAAATTTTGGGAGTAATTCACTTATGCTATAATAATGATAAAACTTCTTACCCGCTGATGAGTGTGACTAAACGGGCTAAAGTTACAGAAATGTGTGTGAAATAAAAAAATATGCCTTATTTTTATTTCACAATTTCCTTTATTATTTAAATCTTTGTTCCAGTCAAACCAAGAAGCCTATGTATTGTAATTCATAACATTTTGTTAATTAAATTTAAAATCTGCAAAGGACGAAAATAAACCACTCAAATCGCACACGACATGTTTAATTGGTACATAGCTTAAGGACTATATTCCTTACTTACGACTCTTTACAATATTACAACAGGCGTATCGACTATAAGGACAGCACAGGGAGTGATTTTCACACGAATAAAAATAATTTACAAAAAAGCAGTCGAACATATAATACATCACACACTTTTAAATAACTAAATAAATAACTCGCACGTAAGCGCGATTCGATCGCGACCGCGGCAGCTAAGCCGCCGCCCGGCCGGGTCCGAAGCTCGCACGCTCTTTGGATCCGAGAAGAGTTTATGGAACGTCCCCGCGTCACACAATCTAATTCGTATGCTTCACGTAATCCGTTTCGTAATAGGCGGTAGCGCCATGTGCACCCTTCCTATCGAGCGCACGCACACGCACAAAAAGAAATGCTGCCACCAGCGAGGCTACTATCAACACCAATAATAACATTACAAGCCCTGCCACAAACGACGGCACCGACATGCAAATCGTCTCTGGGTCTGACGCAGGTGTTTGGATTACAACGGTTTCATTGGATGCTGCGTTATTTAGTGCGAAGTTGACGTCTCCAGGCGCCACCACCTGGATAGTTCTACTTGTGTTTACGTCGGTCATCTCTTGAGCGTCGCGCTTGTAAATTCGTATAGGGGATGATGTCTCTCTTCTTCGTCTGACACCGACTAATCTCTCCGGAAAATCTTCTACAGATCTAGGTCGACCACCTAACGTCGCAAGATTGCCATGAGCCTCGTCTTTCCTTTTGACAGTATTGTATACTCCGCGACGACCAGGTGGTGGAGGCGGGGGAAGATTTACATCGTCATCGTCGCGTGTCGGGGCAGGTGAGGAAGGATTAGGAGCGTTCGGCGTTGAGGACACTTGAGCCTGTGGGGGTGGAACGACATCGTCACGTTTTTCTGAGAATGCACCAGTAGCGTCAGCTGGATGCCTTGGATCAGGGAAAGCTGCTGGCGGCACTCCGTACTCACTATGAGGCGCGGATGGCGGTGGCCCATATTCTGTATGGGGTGCATTTGGTAAACCGTATTCACCTGAGCTTAAAGCATTGCCTCCCAGTAATGGTACTCCATAGTCAGCGCCTAATCCACATTTCGGTTCAGGACAATTGTACCTGCAGACTTGAATTACACATTGGAAATGCACATTCATTGAATCTGGGAATTTAAATGCTTGGAAGTACGCGAAAGACACAACAGAAGCAGATGGTCCAAAGTTCTTTATCTTCTGGAATTTGCTCATTATTTTTGGCCGAACAACGCATCCATATTGATCAACAAGTTGAATGGGTGCTCTTTTACCGTCATGAGCTACACAGTTACGGACTAGCATATCGAATTTGTTTTCGTCATCCTTGATAGCAAGTACCATCGTCATTGTTTGTCCAATTTTGACTATTCCAGATACTTCTGACGCCCACGGTCCTTTCCCAACTTGAATTTGCATCCAACATTGAAGGTTGTCGCCGAGAAAATTTGCTGTGACAGCATGTAGCATGTCAACTTGGAAAGGTCTGAATGTAACAGCCTTTTCATAGAAGTCATACCACGTACACCGCAGTTTTCTTGCTTGATCCCACACTTCCTGAACGTATGGATCATATTGAACAATGATAGTGTTCTCAACGTATGAACCACTTGGTGTAGGGCTACCATAACTTGCGACATTGTGGTTTGCAGAACTGGACATACCGCAGCTGTTTAAAAAGATTTCGAATGTAGCACTTAGGTGACCAGTTCCAGGTTTGAGGTGCATGCAGTGTGGGTCGCTGTAGAATCCTTTAGAAAATATCATGCCATAAAAGGGACGATCGAACTCGATATTCACTCGCATATGAGTTTTTTCACATTGCACTTGTAGATGTTTTATTTTTGGACTGTCAGGTGTTGCTAAGGGCCAGCCATCGTCGGTTTGCGCTGCTGAGAGTGGCGGTCCATATCCACCACCCGCCCGATGTTCTAGCGGTAACGAAGCTGAATCTACTGGTGGCTCGCATGCTGCATCCTGAAAACGAAACAATATTGACGTTAAGAAAGGTAATATTGATTTTTAATTATCGGGAACCGTGGTAGCTCAGATGATAAGCGGTCGTATTAAATTTAACAATGAGGTACGCGGGCACCAAGGATGAGCACAATCAGCGACGGCACCAATGAAATTGTTTCTCGTAATGTTATCGTATTTATCACGTACTCGGTGGTGAAGGAAAACATTGTGAGGAAACCTGCTTATCTAAATAATTAATAAATATTTTGAGGACGTGCGAAGTCCGCCAACACACATTGGGGCATTGTGGCGGCTTCTTTCCTGTTCTATAACATTTTTTAAATGAGAGGTCTGTTCTCAGTGGTGGGACGCATGAAAGTCCTTACTTTACGTACTCGTATGGTAAACAATGTAAGAAATTCTGCGTAAAGCAACATTTTACTTTTGAAAGTTATTTATTAAAACGTGCAAGTATGGGTCGATGATATGATAGTAATGAATGCATCGTTGACCGCAGAGGAGCACATTCCTCGCAACGTCGCAGTCTACTTCGCGCCACACGAATGCGCGACAACGTTAGCCCGAGGCTTCTTACCGACTTTCTACACTGACGGATAGTAACGAGTAATTATTATATTAATCAGCACAGACGTTCTTCATAGATTATTCTCGAAAATGCAGTTTATAATATTTACGATTTACTTTCCAACGTCTAAATACAATACTAAATTCAATAAAAAAAAATGCAGTTGCCCAAAAACCGTAGCAAGTATGGCTAACATCGCCACAATTAGTATTTATTCAGTTGATGTCTATTCGAATAAACAACAAAGTACGAAAACTATTCACCTTCAGAAAGTAGTAAAAGCCACCGTCATTTTGGAATATGTTTTTAAATTGACGGACCGGTAAGGATAAGGCATCCACTTCAATGGCGAAAACATCTTAACACAAAATCGTACGATTAGTGCGTGTCTAGAAAGACTAGTGTGTATTAAACTTAAAAGTAAGGCGCACGGTCTGATCGTGTTGTATGACCAAGCTTAGAGTAGTTAAGCCATATAGAGAGGGATGTGGAATTTCTCGACGTATTTAAATCCGTAGTAGACTATATGACCTATCGCATATCAGAAGTGATAATGAGTAGTCGTCATATAGCTAGAAAATCCGACAACCGATGGAGAAAAAAGATTCTGAGTGACATTTGTATGTCAAAGATTGTTGGAGCCCACTGGATGAACCAACGACCTAGTTAGACGGGCAGTAGTGTAATGATGATGAAACAATTTATGTTCGAAAGTATTGTGAAAGACTACTAAAATGGAAAATTTGGTAATATTTAAGAATAAATAAAATAACGATGGCGCAGTGCGCTGCAAACGACTACTAAGTGATAACCCGATAGATCATGTCCGATGTAAAAGGATGCAGGTTGCTTAGGATCGTGGTTTGTAGTAGTTTTTGAGGGTGGTCTATGCTCTGCAATGGATTGATGGGTTGTTTTCAAATTATAAACGGCTTTTGAATCCAACTTTGGTCGAGACATTCTTAGATTGTAAAAGATATATTAATGCGTGATTATCAAGGTATTTGCAGCATGTCTTTACTTTATTCATTTCCAACTTTACTGAAGATTGTTCTTAACTGGATTCGCTTATTAGAATCAAACTATAAGGAGTGAGAGTTAAGTCTAGTGAAGACTTGATTTACGGGCTCGAGTTATTCTTTAGAGGATCAGCAAGTGCGGTGTCGGTCTTACGCGGACCAGCGCGGACGCTCGCATTTTCTAAACCGGTTAGAAATTACCCAGTGCTCGAGATTGTCAGTTGCGGAAGAAAACACCGGACCTACAACACCCATAACCGCTTTAGCTTTCTTTAACAATCTTTATCTGCAGAAATAGATTTAGATTTGCCGTTGCAATCCGAAATAGATTTGTTCATTAGCAAACCTTGTTCATTTTCTAAAGTAACTTAACTGCAAAGCAAGAAAACTTTAAGGTTAAATTTTCTTGTAACTTTAAAAAGTGTTAGTAGTGGTTACATTCTATTCGAATGCCTGAGCTAGGAGCTCATTTGATACGTAGGTCCTTTTAGGTTGATACCACTCTTTTACATATTTCTGGGGTTAAGCAAAGATAGTGTATTTAATTATAAGTTTTTTTTTATAGAATAAGGGTGACAAGCGAGCACACAGTCCACATGATTGTAAGTAGATGCTGTGACCCATAAACATCTAGATGTAGCCTCGATTAAGAATCAAAATGCAGATGCGTTATCACCCCTGAGAACTAAGATGGATCGCGGTCGAAGTTGGACTTAACTACTTGGGTATATTTCCTAGGTTTAAAGTACTCGTCAAAAATTTCAAGTGTAATGCTCCCAATAATCACCAGAATAGGTGTGATAGGGGCGTTATATCTTTTTTCTATATACCTTTTCCATGTTCATTTTAAGACCTATTGGTTGAAATACACCTCTGAGGTCATTAATCATAGTGCTGAGGTACCTCAGCAATTCTGCTATAGTGTCATATCGTCATATCTCACTCACAATTAATGTTAATATTGTGTTCAGTGTCCAGCAGTTTGAAAATATCTTGTAACTTCCAAGGTAGCGATTAAGTTTCAGGGATATAGCGTCACCCAGTCTTACACCTTTTTGCAGTTGGTTAGGATTCATAATCTGGTTCTTTTTTCGGATAGTTATCGTAGTCCTATTGTATAAGCACTTCAATACTTTGTTATACGAACAGTCAACTTGGTGCCGCTAAATTTCGTGGCATCAAAGACTTTTCACAGTTTACATATGCAAGGCAAAGTGGCAGATTGTAGTACGGTCTTTTGTTCAATTTTCCGAAAGGTGTGTACTGTGTATCTAGTATAATACTAAAGCATTATTGGAAACCGGCTTCCTCGGGAGACTAAAATTCGTCAAGCCTGCGTGCGAGACGATTTGTAATAACTCTCAACCTAATTGACACGTATAACATGCTGATCCATCGCTGAACATAGACCTCCCCTATAGGTTGCCCTATACTGGTTCCACGTCTTTACACGTTAACATACGTTCTAAATAAACGTTCAGAGCTATGCAATGACAAATACATGTTGTCGCTGGTCAGTTAGGTTTTTCTTATTGCCTCGTATACAGCTAGGTAAAACGGCGTGGCTTGAGCAATCAAATATGTTTTTTCAACAAGGGATTAATTTAAAGCCACAACACTCGCATTACTTGTCCTAGCAAGAACTAGCTCCAGAGACACATAATCAAGCACCCATACGAATTTGAATTTAATGTACTTGACATGCTTAATGTTATGTCATCCTCATTATCATTAGCCTGTGGCTGTCCTCTAGGTCTCTCCCATGAACCCGCCGAACGGGATCCCGCCTTGTCGTGGCGGTGAGGCTTAGTAGCCACGGCTTGGTCACCCGCGGTGAACTAAGAGGAACCCACATGGCAGGCCCGAGGTGTAGGGCCGGCCCGAAGAGGTCACTTCGTGTGGGCTTGACGAGCCTATTTCGGATGTGTGTTGGTGGGCTGCGGCGAGAGGGGTGCCCTCTACCTCTACCGCAGCAGCCGAGGTGGAGTCGCGGGGGAAGAGGAGTGTTGGTATAGCGATGCACCACTCGCCCTATCCTCCGCGACTCTGACGGGGCCGGAACGTTAATTGATGCGGTGGTGATGGGGAAAGGAGTGATAGTATTGCGAAGTGCCGCTCTCCCTACCTTCCGCAGCTGAATCCGCCGCAAGAGTCAGGAAGACTAGTGCTTCTGAGTGTTCATTTTTCCTAGCCCCATGGCCTTCGCGCATCGAACATGGGGGCGTCTGTTGCACAGGTGGAGTAAGAGGCCAAGGAGGAAGGCGCGCCTTGTGTTCCTGGTACGCCTTACCAGAGAAAGGAAAGGGAAAGGAGAAATTCTTTCCGAGGAGGGCCTGTCATGGGCCGGCTGGCGCCGGTGGGGCTGCGGATGTAAGCGTTCCCGTGACCCTGCCAATATGCGGCTAAGGTGGAACACCATGGGGTTTTAATCGGTGCGAGTCCTACAAACCTGTCTTTGCCGCCACGAGGCGAGTATGCGTGAGCATTTCCCCATGATAAAAAATAAGCTTCTTTCATGATACGCCACTTAGCACAATTTTCGGTTCATACGCATTACATAAATCGTCGCTCCATCCAGCTAGGAGGCGTCACGTATTACGGTAACATTAACGTTTACGTTGCTTTAATTTGAACAGTAAACACACTTCACACTTGTGCCTTGCCTATGATATCGTCGTTATGTCAGAATCGCTACAATAGCTTTAAGACATAATGAACAGCATGAATTAATCTCTTATTGTGTTGGATTGCGTATGAATTTAATAAACAAGACTAAACTTGTATTTGAAGGCTATGTCATACAAAATTCTTTTATCATTGAGATTCTTAAAGTTATCAGATGATGAAGTTAGGAAGAATAACTTTTTTGTATAAAATTGAAGTGACAAACGAACTTCCAGTTCCACCTGATGGTAAGTGGTCATAGTAGAAACCTGCAACCAACTTGAAATAAAGAAGACTACAGATACGTTGTTACCTATGAAGACAAAGATGGAATGCCTAATAGTCTGTGAAATAGCAAATAGCAATGCAAGCACTGCTATTTGGCGGCAGTAATAGCTAAGAGGGTGGTACCTATCCAAACGGACTCATAGACAGACAAGGAGTCCTACCGTCTAGAAAACTACTGAACAGTAGAAACCTGCAACCAACTTCAAATACAGAACACTACAGATACGTTGTTACCTATGAAGACAAAGATGGAATGCCTAATAGTCTGTGAAATAGCAAATAGCAATGCAAGGACTGCTATTTGGCGGCAGTAATAGCTAAGAGGGTGGTACCTATCCAAACGGACTCATAGACAGACAAGGAGTCCTACCGCCTAGAAAACTACTGAACAGTAGAAACCTGCAACCAACTTCAAATCCAGAAGACTACAGATACGTTGTTACCTATGAAGACAAAGATGG